CATCCATATACCATACATACCAAACATACATACACATATTCATCATATACTACATATATATATATATATTTATAACATACCATCCATACATACACACGTACACATATATATATTAAATATAAACACACTACACACACACACACACACATAATATATTATATACAACATATACCCACACACATATATAATATATAATATATACACATTATACACACACATATATACATACACCACACACACATGCCACCCACACACTATGTCTGAAGGAGCATCTGCATGACATCCTTGTAAACCACTGCAGAAATCACACATAAGTTTCTTAGTGAAACCAAGGTGCCATTTCAACAGGACCTTAGTTCACATCCAAAGATAAAAACTAGGGTCCTGTTCACCTTGGCCATGTTTATCCACATTTGGGGACCATTCTCCTCCGAGGTGTGACTGCCCAACTCATCATCCCACTTAGGAGGGAAGAGTTGTCACAGACAAAGCTGACAGCAGACCATAATAGGAGGCCAGGACCACCTGGCTTATTCAAGAAGGTACCATCAAAAGTGACAAGAGAAGAAAAGTTAGTAGCTCCTGCATTTGAGATTGCAAAAAGTGCTTGATTTTTAAGTACTGGAAAGTGGCTCGAGTGTCCAGCTTGTATCTGCCCTTTAAGAATTTCAAATGGAAGGACACCTGAACTATTTAAAAATTAAGTAGTCAAGTATGACCCTCACTTAAGCTATTTGCAAAATGCAAGCAGAGAGATAAATCCTGGCTGAAAAACAGGGGTACCCAATAAAGAAAGCAAGAGCATATGTGAGGAGATCAGGATGTGCTTGACTTTCAAATCATTCAAATCAAGCATGATATTGTTCCTCCCTTCCTGCAGTTCAAGGAGATAAGCCTCCAAGGAAACCCACAAGAGGACCCCCCCCAACAGATTGCCAATGCACAAGCTGTATAAGTTGGGTCACATGGTAATACCATTGCAAAAGAGGAAGACCCAATCCTCTTAAGTTTAGGTTTGTATAAAATAGGTTTAGCCACTTGAGGGAAGGAGCCCTTCCAAATGAATCAAAAAAATACGTCGTTGGAAGGCACAAAGCCAGTAAAATGGGATAGGAACAGGTAAAACCCAAGTGTAGTATAGATACTTTGGCACTAGTATCTTCATCACAGTAATTCTAACTAACCAAGAGAAGCTATGTTTGCCCAAGAGGCATGAGATTAGGAAGGGATATCAATGTGTTTGTTAATATCAGCAAGATGTCATTGGCAAATAGATCTTGTAATGATAGCCTGAGACCTAAAGCCCCTTCACATCCAGGTGTTGTCTAATTGCCTGAGCTAGGGATTCAATTGCAAGAACAGTGGAGAGAGGAGGCACCCCTGTTAACTGCGAACTCTTCCTTCCCAAGTATCTGGTGTACGCAGTAGGAAAGTTACTGTATATAGCTTCTTAATTCAAGTGAGAAAGTGAGAGCCAAATCCCCAGCATTGTAGAGACAAAATGTAGAAAATCAAAAATATTTCTAATATAAAGATTGTCTGGCTATATGCAAAAGAAGTGAAATCCTATGGATGTTGTCACTTACAGTGCCTTGAAAAAGTATTCATACCCCTTGAAAGTTTCCGCATTTTGTCATGTTACAACCAAACACGTAAATGTATTTTATTGAGATTTTATGTGATAGACCAACACAAAGTGGCACATAATTGTGAAGTGAAAGGAAAATGATAAAATGGTTTTCAACATTATTTACAAATATATATCTGAAAAGTGTGGCATGCATTTGTATTTAGCCCCACTGAGTCAATAATTTGTAGAGCCACCTTTCGCTGCAATTACAGCTGCAAGTATTTCTGGGGATGTCTCTACCAGCTTTGCACATCTAGAGAGTGACATTTTTGCCCATTCTTTACAAAACAGCTCAAACTCTGTCAGATTGGATTGAGAGCGGTTCTGAACAACAATTTTCAAATATTGCCACAGATTCTCAATTTAATTTAGGTCTGGGCCATTCTAACATGAATATGCTGCTTTGATTTAAACCATTCCATTGTAGCTCTAGCTGTAGGTTTAGGGTCGTTGTCCTGCTGGAGGGTGAACCTCCACCCCAGTCTCCAGTCTTTACCTAGTGGGGATCCTTAACTGAACCTACTAGACTGTTTGTTAAACAGTCTACTAAGATAGGGTACTAGAAGATCTTGGAACTTCCGATAGTAAGCTGCAGTGAAGACATCAGGTCCCTGCTTCTAGCCAAGTTTCAAAGACTTTATTGCTTGTTGCACTTCTTGCAAAGTTATCTCCACGTCTATAGGCTGACATTAAGAGGCAAAAAGTTTAGGAAGTGCAAGGCCTGCAAAAATTCAGTTGTGGATTCTTGATCTAGGAACACCATAGCGCTTTCTAAAGTTCTTAAAAGATAAGCAACACGTCAACCGGATTAGTTGTAAGGTTACCATCAGTAGAGCATAGTTGGATAGGTTTACAAGCTACAGCTGTATCCTAGAATGTTAGCCAAAAGGGTATCAGGTTTGTCTCTTTTTAGGTAAAAGCAACGTTGGGTTCAGTTGATTTGTTTATCAGAAAGGTATGCAAGGCAAAGATTCAATTCAGTTTTTAGGGAAGACAGACTAGCTCGAACAGGTATCAGGTCATTCTGAAAAGTCTGAGTGGCTCAAGAGAGCTCATCTTATAGTGTTTTAATTCAGACTTCTCTAGATTTTTTATATCGCAAGGCCAGTTGAATAAGCCTGCCCGAATAGGTTTATGAGCTCCCCAGACTCTCATGATGGAACCAACTGACTGATAATTTAGTTTTAAAAAAATCCTTGGATCTGAGAGCAGAGTGTCTCTCAATGACCACTGTCCACCTGATCCAAGGGGTGGCATGAAGTTGAGCCCACTGTGTTAGACCACGTGATGTGGAAAAATAGAGTTCGCTACCTGGGCTAAGAGGGTGTGATACAGAAAAACATGGTCTATACAGAAGAATGTGTTGTTAGAGTGAGTAAAATGTGTTCAGTTGTAGGATGCTTTTCTCTCCAGGCTTCCGCTAGGTATATTGAAACAGTACAGACCAGAACTGCCTTGCAACCGTTTTGTCCTCCAAAAGGACCGTAGGGTTTTGTGGATTCTTTTTTTTTTTTCTCTCAAACCATCAAGCAGGAAACCACTCCAATAAAAATGAGAACACTGTAAACATCCTTGTAGTCAAGCAGTTTGTTCTAAACTCCTATCACACCTAGCTACTCAGTTCTGTCAGCCTGTAAATGTGCTAAAATGATGTGTACAAACAAAAAGAAATCTTTTAGTCTATATACCTAAAGTGACTCTGTTGCTAAAATAATTCTGCAATAGAAATCACTACCTGACGACTCTTTCAAAATGGGATATTTCTGACAGCACCAGGCTCCTGACCAAACACTGTGCTTTCTAACCCCTGATTTATTTAATTGTTGATTATTACCTGTCATGATCATTTTGCACTACACAATAGTGATTATTCAGTTAAATAAAAGCACTGTAATAATTTTATTGCTACTACACTGTGTTCACAGACAACAAGCAGCCATATTTCCTTTAACCTCCTGGATTGCTGAACCTACATGCTTACCTCTGACACTGCAGTTCCACTTTTGATCTCATAAGCAATGTTTAAACTGATGTAAGAGCATTCAGCTTGCGCTTTGATCAAAGGTACTGTTACCTGGAATTTTGATTCCCAACTGTGTATGCTGCTTGATTCCATCATCTGCCAGTCTGACTACACTTCTGCTCTGTGCATTGATACTACATTTGGTTTCCTTGCTGGTCAGCTGTCAGCATCCAGTACACTTCAGTGTTTTCAAAACGGACTGATTTCTAAATATATGTAGCGAACTCCTAAATAGCTAGGGGAGCTAGATTCTAATTATTAGGCAGAGGCTGAGTAGCAGCCCTGGTGCAACTGTCAGATGAAGGTCAAATTGTGGTCAGGGTTGAAAGGCTCTACAGACCAGCCCCTCTGGAATTTCCCCCTGCTCTTTTTGGAGAAAGGTCTAAAAGCAGTGGGTGGATCTGAGGAGTGCCTGACCTGCACTTTTGAGGGAGCATCACCAATCCCCAACAGGAGGCTTGGCAAGGGGCCAGGACAACCCTTAAAAGTGATTGAGCCTGCTCAGCAGCAGGAGAGTTCGGTTGGAAGAGAGAGAAGGATGTGAGGCATGAGGCAGGAGCCTGTGAGGGGGACCAAATGGAGAGGGGCTCACCTGCAGGCAGAGGACCTTGGAAGGCTTAAAACCTGAGACTTCACAAGCCCCCTGAGAGAGGACGACTTGTGTGGGAGGGAAGGAATGGCCCTGCTAGAAGGCCTGGTAGCAGCCACTGACCCACCAGCGACATGGGACAAGGACCAAAGTGAGTATACTTGCACCCCCTGGGCTAGTAACGGGAAAGGAGCACTCTGGTGGGAACTGGATTTGCTGTCTTACCCAGGACTGTTTCACACTGCAGTGGCAGGCAATGGATCCCCTGCCCAGGGATTCACCCAGTACAGCTGGATGAAGAAAAAGGAGTCATCTATGGTCTGGGTTGGTACTACAGGAGATGCTGGCTAGCTCTCCAGAAGACAAACTTTGCTGTAAAGACTTGTACATAGTTGCTAAGGAGTTTGTCCTCAGTTGCCATTGCATCCCATACACCCCTTACCCCATCCAAGTTCTAAACCCCCTAATAAAACTTCCAAACAACGGTCATGGACTGGTTACTGTCTCCTAATGAAAGTCTGAGTGAAGGAAATGCAAGTTGCGTGACAGTGCAGGACTATAGCAGGACCCAAATCTCTTGTATCTATAGTTGGCGTTATATAAATGCTGTATAATAAATACTGTATAAAAATAGTAATTGTCTGTTTGTCTGTCTCTGGACTGGTGTTGGGGAATCAGCACTAGCAGTTTATTTAGAATTCGCTTGATTACGCTCTTTAGTCACCTTAAGTTGTTTCAAACAGACTGAGATCTTGGAGCAATGCACTAACCTCATCAACTGTTTGAGCTGGGTGGAGACGGAAATTGACTGTAGCTCTCGCCATGTGTGGGATCACATTGGACTGAAAAATAAAGAAAACAAATTAAAGAAGGACATTATTTTCATATAATTATTGGCTCATTTCGTTTGGCAGAGAAAAGTAGCCCTGCAATGTAAGCTCTATTATGCCAACAGTCACTTCTAATCCTCTAGTCCACCTTCTCGTTCACCATACAGTTGGCCTTGCTAACCAATAATGAGGCAAAGAGTTGTTATGCAAGCTGCTTTTTAGTATTCAAAGTAATTTGTAGTTTAACCTGCACTCAGGATCACCTTCACAGTTTGTCAATATCATATGACTGTGATGGATTAAATAATAAACTGTAAAATAAATGATAAACTATAGATATTAGAAGCCTTTAAACCAGATACTGTATGTGGCATCATCTGTCACATGATAGATCTGCATCCATACAAATACAAAAAAAAGGAATCTAAAATGAAAAACAAACCAACCATAAAACAAACATCTGTCAGCAATGTTTTAAATGTGTTAGCTACCATGTTACTAGATTTGTCCATTCCTGTTTTAAAGGTATGTATAATACACATCCATTGTATATTACATAAAACATTGCATATCCAAAATGCATTTTCAATGTTTTAAATTATTTAACATTCACTTTCTGTTTAAACAAAATATAAAATGTCATGTAGATATGATACAATGATAAATGTGGCTATATATAAACTTTGGTCAACTTGTTTTTTCCAATGTATATGAAACCTATTTATCCCCTTTCTTGCCCAGACCCAGCTACCCTTTATCAGTGTCTGTATGCCTTTGGGGGCAGGAAGAATTGCCCAATCACATGACCACTGTGCTTGGCTGTCACAGTGGTCACATGATCATTAGCAGTGACTGAGAGCTGTCCTTGACAGCTCAGTAACTGGTAGTGCACAGTGAGTATGCTCTCAGCACAGAAAGCTCTGCAGCCCATGGATGCATATGGTTGGCATGTGAGCATTGAAGCCCGCCCTCTTAGTTACCAAACATATACATTGTGTGGATGGCAAAAGGTTAAAGGGCACTTTGTTCTCCTTTCCAAACCCCAGAAGTAGTACATGGATGGGGTGAGTACGCGTATCCTCTGGTGCAGACAATTTGTGAAAAATTTTAGGCAGAAATGCCTGTGCAAGGACCCCAGGATTTTTGGGCATGAAAAAGAGACAATTTTTTGGGTGGTCACCCTATTAGGTATTCAATAGAAGAGGAAAATGGCAGATCTTCTGCCACCATCCCTGAAGAAGAAGAGCAAAGTGCATTTCCTCTTGGCTGCATTTCCTACTGTATCGATCAATGTACCTCTAATCTCTGAAAGGAGGAGCATTTAAGATCTTTTTCAATCACAGCAGATGGGCCAGGCAAAGCTAATCATGTGAATGTTGACTATATGAGGTTCAGGGCAGATACAGACTCTCTTAGTGTTGAGTGTTGACCCATGGACTAATGGGTGTGTAGGTTGAACCACTGAGCCAGACCTTGCACAGTATGCGTTTGAACATATATCCTTAGCTCATTGTGATCTCCTCTTCCTACTAAGAACCCAGAAGTAATTGTAAAACGTCACTTCTGCAACTAGCTGTCATTTTCCCTGGCCACACTGGCAAGATCTGCACTCTATTAGCTTTAATAAAAGGCAGGTGAGACATCAGGGCTCTAACAGACCCCAGATGTCTCTTTATTATTATTATAATAATACAGGAATTATATAACGGCAACAGTTTGCTCAGCGTTTTACAATATCAAGGGAGACAGTACAGCAACAATACAGTTCAATACAAGAGGGTTAGGAGGGCCCTGCTCTTTGGAATTTACAATCTAAGAAGGAGAGGCTAGTTGTACAAAAGGTAGTAACTGTGGGGGCAGAACTGGTAGGAGGAATAGAAGATTCGGTTATCAGCTGAAGGCAGGATAGGCTTCCCTGAAGAGAGAGGTTTTCAGAGATCGTCTAAAAGTAGGCAGAGTAGGTGATAGTCTGATAGATTGGGGTAGAGAGTTCCAGAGGGTGGAGGAGGCTCTGGAGAAATCCTGGAGATGAGCATGGGAGAAGGAGAAAAGGGAGCTAGAGAGCAGGAGGTCGTGGGAGGAGCAGAGAGGACAGTTTGGGTGATATTTGGAGACAAAATTGGTGATGTAATTTGGATCAGCGTTATAAATGGCTTTATATGTTATTGTTAATGTTTTGAATTTTATTTGTTGAGCAACGGGAAGCCAGGGAGGGATTGGCAGAGAGGGATGGCAGATATGGAGGATGAGTCTGGCAGCAGCATTAATGATAGACTGAAGAGGGGACAGCCTGTGATGAGGTAGGCCAATGAGGAGGGAGTTACAATAGTCAAAGCGAGAGATAACCAGGGAGTGAATAAGTTGCTTAGTGGTTTCAGAGGTTAAAAACGGGAATATCTTGGAGATATTGCAGAGGTGAAGTCTACAAGATTTGGACAGATTTGGGGCTGAAGACAGATGGGAGTCCAGGATTACACCTAGTACCCTGGCATGAGGGGAGGGACTGATGGTTGTATTATTGATCTTGATGGAGAAGTCAGGGGAGGGGGCATGGACTGGAGCGAATAGTATGAGCTCAGTTTTAGAAAGATTTAGTTTGAGGAAGTGACATCCATGCTGATATGTCACTTAGTAGGTTAGTAATGCAAGAGGAGACTGAAGGGGTGAGGTGAGAAGTAGAGAGGTAGATTTGTGTGTCATCAGCATAGAGATGGTACTTAAAGCCATGGGAGTTTATCAAGTGACCAAGAGAGGAGGTGTGGATGGAGAAGAGAAGGGGTCCAAGGACAGAACCTTGAGGGACCCCTACAGAAAGAGGAAGTGGAGAGGAGGAGACAGAGTTATAGGTAACACTGAAGCAGCATTGTGATAGGTAGGTGGCGAACCAGGAGAGAGCAGAGTCTCAGAGGCCAAGAGAGTGGATTTTTTTGAGGAGGAAGGATGGTCGACAGTATCAAAAGCTGCAGAGAAGTCAAGTAGTAAAAGTATGGAGTAGTAGCCATTGGTTTTAGCAGTTAGTAAATCAGTGAGTTTTAGTATGGGCAGTTTCAGTGGAGTGTAGTGAGCGAAAGCCAGACTCTAAAGGGTCAAGAAGGTTGTTGTCAGTGAGGTAGGAGCTCAGGCGATTGTAGACTAAGTGTTCTAGGAGTTGAGGTAAATGGGAGCAGGGAGATGGGTCTTAAGTTGTTCAGATTGGTGGGGTCCAGGGAGGGCTTTTTAAGTATGGGAGTGATCTGTGCATGCTTTAGAGGGGAGGGGAAGGCACCAGTAGAGAGGGAGAGATTGAAGATGTGAGTGAGGGAGCATAGGATAGAAGAAGAGGGTGACTGTAGTAGTTGTGAGGGAAAGGATCCAGGGGGCAGGTGGTGAGATGGGCTTCTGAGAAAACTTTACTGACTTCTTCAGTAGTAGCAAGATCAAAAGAATAAAGTGTTGAGGGAGGTTTAGTATAAGGTATGCTAAGTGGGATAGATGTCTGTGTAGTGGAGATGCCCCTACAAATTGCATCAATCTTGTTTTTGAAATGATTGGCAATCTCATAAGCAGTGAGTGAGTTACTGGGTGGAGGTGGAGAAAGTAGAACGTTAAAAGTACAGAAGAGATGACGAGGACTGGATGACAAGGTATTAATAAGAGTGACAAAGTAGGCTTGTTTGGCAGCATGGAGGGAGGAATTCTATTTTAAATAAAGTAGATTTATATAGGGTGAATGCTTGCTGGGATTTGATTTTAAGCCACAAATCACTCCAGTGCAAGACCATGTCTCTTGAAGATTTCTGTTGTCATCAGTCTGCCACGGTTGTAATGGTTGGGGCCTGATACTTTGTGTAGTTAGAGGAGTAAGTGAGCCTACTGCGGATGAAAGCGAACTGTTGTAGACAGAAGGGGCCAGGTCAGGGCAGGACAGAGGAGAGATTCTGTCATAGAGGCAGTCAGTTGCAGAGTGGAAAAGAAAAGGGTTAAAGTTGTGAGGTATCTGCGATCAATTGTTTAATTGTCATTAAGGAGAACCTGTCACAAAAAAGTATCCCATTCATCACCAGGGCACTTTTTGTCCCATGTGAAAAAAAATATAGTTTGTTGAAAACAAAAAGTGTAAAAAAAAAAAAAATAAGATAATGTAAAAAAAAAAAAAAAAGTGTTACACCTAAGCACTTTAACACCCACCCAAGGAAAAAAAAAAAAAAAAAAACAAAAAAAACAAAAAAAAAAACTGAGCCAACCCCTGTAACCCCCCCCCCCCCCGCCAAATACACACATATACGAATGTAACATGCGTCAGGGACAACTATGTAAGAAAACGTCAATTGCACTAAACATGGAGTGAGAGCAATTATTTCAGGCCCATTTTTAATGGTTAGCTCTAAACAGCTGGTTTCCATGGTTGCCTATATAAAATTTGGAGTATGGAAGTTTGTTTTTATATCATGGACCTCTGCAAGTTTAAAGCTTGACATGTTGGGTATCTATTTTCATCTTTTATATTTTTCCAAAAATATATTACATTTGTGTGTCCAAAAATTAACCTTAGTGCATATTTTACCTAAAATTTTGCACTCGTGCTAATATGGTATGACATAAAAAATGTTCACTATTATTTTATTCTTCAGGCAGTCTGCTTTCAGAATAAAATGTTTGGAAGCATTAGTAATCTTCAGGGCTAAAATAATTTTTTAAATGTGTCAAAAAAGGAAAAATGTCTCTGGAAGCAAAATGGCTAATATTGAGAAAGGAATCTGTCTGTTGCCTGACACTGGTAATCGGCATGCTTTTATAGAAATTGTGAACCAATTCACAAAAAGAACATTGGGGAACTGGAGAAAGTACAGAGAAGGGCAACCAAACTGATAAAGAGGCATGGAGGAGGTCAGCTATGAGAAAAGATTAGAGGAACTGAATTTATTCTCTCTTGAGAAGAGGAGATTAAGGGGGATATGATCAACATGTATAAATACATTAGTGGTTCATATAGTGAACTCAGTGTAGAGTTATTCATTCATTATAGAGGTCATCACAGACGACACTCTTTACGTCTGGAGGAGAAGAAATTTAAACTCCAAACACGGAACGGTTTCTTCACGGTGAGAGCTGTGAAAATGTGGAATAGATTCCCTCAAGAGTTGCTTCTGGCCTAGGTTTTTTTCCTTCCTCTGGATCAACTGTGGGTGTAGAATTATAACTTTTTTTTCTTTATGGTTGAAATGGATGGACTTTTGTCTTTTTTCAGCCAGACTAAGTATGTAACTATATGAACAATACCTGCCAACATACCTGAAAAAAAAAAAAACACCAAAACGACTGATTTGTTCACTGACTCACCGCAAATGATAGTTCCCGGGCCCTGCAGCTAAATATAAACAAGGGGGAGGATGACTAGAATAGGTGAATGTCCCCAAGGGCAATGCCCAGCTGCCCATGCCATTTGTTTGACAATCCTTTAGCTATTGTCCTTGAAAATGATCATTACTGATTTCTAGGATTCAACTCTTATTGACTTCAATGGAAATTGGATTTTGCATCCAACTTTCTGTAAAGTTTGTTGAACTTTCCCCAAACCAAACCGAGGTATGATCAGTGAGATATCAGTATCAAATTATGTGGCTCTTATATGCTGGAGTTTTTTCTTTTGGGGGGGGGGGGGGGGGGGGGGGTGAAAAAGCTTAAAAAAGCTTTCAGTTTTTGTTGATATTTTTTTTGTGCTCTGGAAACCCTTTCTCACACTTGCACTCTACATTAAAGGGCAACTTTCCCCATTCCAGTTTGAAAACAATTAGTGTTCTTTAACAAAAGAACATACATTCCACATTAATAATTATGCTACCAAAAAGGAGTGTGTGCTGTAAATTGCCTCCGGTATAGCTCCAGTTTCTTTTTTTGTCTGAGACGGTTATTTTATTGAAGCCCAGAGTAGTCGCTTCCTAACTAAGGACACTCATCTCCTTGGCCTAAAATGTGTGCAATTCCAGCCTTGATTGTATGTCCTGGTTCAGGTAGAAAGGAAGACTGCAGAAGCTTTACAGTGTTGAGGTTCACAGCCCTGCCAGCAGAAAGGAGAGAGAGTCAAGGAGATAAGAGAGGATACTAGCCTTGTATGTTTAATCATGTTGTGTCTTCCTTTCAGCAAAATCTCTTCTGTCATCTTTTTTTTTTTCTTTTCTTGATCCCTAATTGGTCCCTGCTTGGCACAGTCAGTCTCATTACTGTTGCGTTCCTCCCCTCTCAGCAGCATTAAATCGTAAAGCTGTCAACAGATTGGTCTCTAGTGAAACTCTCTTAATGCACTGATTATCGACACACAGTGCCAATACAGGCCAACCGAAGCTGTGCAGAGCAGAATGAGAAAGTGCCTTACTGGATTTTAAAAGTATAGGCACTTATTTTTAATGTTTTACAAAGCTATACCTGCAAAAGAGGCCAGCATACAGTTATCTATTAAGACTTAATTTTGTGTCTAAAGTTCCACTTTAAATATTTATTTGTAAAAATGTTGCTGATGCTGTATGCATATTTCTCTTAAAACAGCAGTACCTTTAATCCAGAATTAAAGATGGTTATTGCAGTAGTTGTTCGCACAATAGCATTGCTTGATGGAGTTTTTTCTAGAACTCTAAAAATTAAGAAAAACATTAATTTTAATAACATTGTAACATCAACTACAGCAATGAGCTTTCTGCAGCATTCCCTTCTGAATTGCAGAATATTTACCTGCTAATGACTGGAGAGAACAGCCATAAATTTGCCATCATGACATTCAGAGGAAAATAAAACTGTAATATAATAAGACTGATTTATTTATAGAAAAAGCTAGTTTCTAAACAAAGCAGCAATACAAGATTAATATTTATGATCCATTTTAAAACTTCTGCTTTTTTTTTAAAACGGGGGGGGGGGGGGGGGGGGGGGGGGGAGTTAAATGATTTAAAAGTGTATCTAAACCCAGAGACAAAGACGTAATATATTTCAGCCGAGCAGTCCTTAAATGTAGTGGCTACATTTGTTTTTCTTAGCTTTCTGCCTTTATTTTCACCTAGCAATCCTTTGAATAACATACTTTCTGCCCCTTCATGTTTTTTTTTTTTCCTCACTATATCTATTGGAACATCCATGGTTGTCTCACAGGTCTAACTTGAAAGATACAATATCTGTCTTTGTTCATCTGCATTGATAAGGCAAGTAGCTTACATACTAAAGATAAAAGGGCTTTTTATTTCTTTTGGAGCTCATTATACCACAGCCACTGTGAAAGGTGTGGTGCTGATGTGATGTTAATGATGTATCACACTGTTCACTTTTTTCAACTTTATTCATTCATATTTAAAGCTGAAAAGTATTGAAAATTAATGAAATGCCACAGGGTGACATTTAATTTATCTTTATTCACCACAGCAGGTTTTATGTACATCATGTACTACTTTTTATTAGCGCGCAACACTTCAGTACAGTGGTTTGAACTTAATGAATACGACATAAAGCATAATTTCCATTGCTTATGTGTTGGAACTGCTTTAGGAAAGTCTACCAAGGCTACATAGTGCAGCCAAGCACATATGGTGAATGGGCTCCTAAGCTCACAGGAAGTAATAAGGAGACTGCATGGCTAAACCATACCATTCTATTGACTGCTTTTTGTGGTCAGTAATGGCACTCTCATAGGAAAGGAGATTTAACACTTTTGGTTCATTGTATTTTAGTTAGTGCTTTGCTACTCTAATAAAATAGAACTAACAAAATACATCATGTTAAGTGCATCCATGCTTCGTAATGTTTAAGTGTAACACAGGTGTAAAAGGGAGGGATTTAGATTTCTAGGGTACTGTGCTATAACACTAAAATGCTGAAGCTAGTTTGCACCAAAATGGAAGCAAGTCTGCCATGCTAGGGGAGAGATTCACAGGGGATGTTGGAGGATGGATGAATGGGAGAGGGGTGAAGTAGATTATAATAGAACAGATAAATCAGACAGGAGTCAGACACTAATGGAGGGTAGAATGGGGAAATATGGTGGGAAAGAGGGTTAAGTGAAAGGAGATTCCCATGTTTCCAGTGAGAGCTGTGAAAATGTGGAATAGACTCCCTCAAGAGTTGGTGCTGCCCAGCTCAGTGGATTGCTTTAAAAAAGGCCTGAATTATTTCTTAGATACACAGAATATAACTGAATAGTAACATTTATAAGTAAAGTTGATCCTGGGAATATCCAATTGCCTCTCGGGATCAAGAAGGAATTTCTTTCCCTGCAGGAGCAAATTGGATCATGCTTTTCTGGGGTTTTTTGCCTTCCTCTGGATCAACTGTGGGACTAGGATTATAACTTTTTTTTTTTTTATGGTTAAACTGGAAGGACTTTTGTTTTTTTTTTTCAGCAGGACTAACTATGTAACTATGTTAAAAGCAAACATTGGTGATTACAGTACTACCAAAAAATGGTAAGTACAAGTGCACTTATGATTTCAGTGTGTGTTCACCAATGCCAGAAGCATGCCAAACAAAACAGGAGAGTCAGAAGCTTTGTTGAGAAGATTTGATTTAGATAGAAAGGGTTGCATGGGCTGGGACAGTGATAATAATGGGGGATTTTACTACCCTGAAAGTGGCTGGTGAAATGGAACTGCTGGAACACTAAAATGGCAAAAAGTTATTAGCTTAAGGGACAGTTTATAGAATCCCCAATTAGAAATTATGCTCTACTGGGCCTGTTATTTTAAGGCAATGGGGAGCTTATTACAAAATTTCAAGTAACAAAAAATCTGGGTAGCAATGAACATAAAATGATTTCATTTAATTTAAATTGTCAACTACATCACATACTGGAAGAATAAAAACACTATTTTAAGAGAGCAAATTTTCTAATGCCAAAGTCTGCTATACAAGTTTTATTTATTTTTATTTATTTCAGGTACTTATATAGCGTCATCAATTTACGCAGCGCTTTAAACAAGTGTGATGTATCATTTACATAACATTTGCACCACACAGTGTACATCAGTGGCTGTAGTATAATGCAGCTGCTGGGTTACGGGGTACCTTGACTTGGGAGCAACGCATTCTGTAACCTTTGACCCTGGTTGCATTAGAGAGAGCCTTTAGTATTTCAGCCAAAAGGGCCCCCAGCTTGATTATTACATCAGTCTATCAAAAACAAGCTCTGTATGTACTTATGAAAGAAATCATTTGAGATTTCCAAAGCAGTTACTAAACTTCTTTGAGTTTCAGGTATTTGTTTTTTTTAATTGATAAAACATCATTAAGACTTGGTGTTTTGAGAGGATGCAACAGATTTGCCCATCTCTGGTGTATATGAGGGAGGATTGTGCAAGATATGTAAAATAGCACAGTTCAGCCTTACCTCTCTTGAGAGCTGCTCAAACATGGAAGCCTCGGGACCTTCACCAAACATATTTGGCATTGGATTGTTTTCTAACCTTTGTATTTGTGAAAATGAGACAGAAAAATATTAAAAAAGGAATTGGTAAGTTTTTGAAACAAAGTTATGGCAATACGGTGAATCCAGGCAAACAGATAAAAATCATATAAAAAGGTAACTATTCCACCCACCAAAGGATTTGCACTTCTGTCCATCCAGTCCTACATTTTACACAGCCCCAACACACAGCATACCCAAAACAGATAACATTAATTTCTCAGTTCATCCAAAACAAAAAGTGCAGTGCAACATATATATTACATCCCTATGCATATATCTTGCTTGTTTAAATACCTCCTGCTTAGTAAACAAGTATACCATATAATCCAAACAATTTGTGTCTTATACACACGGTTTCTGAAATGTATAATTCAATACAAATAAAGTCCTCCAAATTAAGCCCTTTTTCGATGAAAAAGTATGTCCACTATGCATTCCTTAACTCCTTCACATGCAGTATTTTCCAAGTGAGTCCCACCACCATTGCACAGTGCGCTCACCTGAACACATTGACCCATCAAATAAAAAGGAATGGCACCCCCATGCATCTAAAAACACAGCCTACTTGAGGGTGTGGGAACAACAGGGAAATTGCATGGTGCAGAAAGGTTCCTGCACCAATCTAAAATGTGCTGTGTTTTTAGATGTGTGGGGGTGCCATTCAGAATGAATGGCAGCCCAATGCGTTTTCAAACAGCAGCGTATTTTGACTGCAGGTGGTTGCGGGTGCGAGAATCTCTTAGATAGATTGCATAGATGTGAAACAAGCCTTAAGGTATAGGCTCCAGCATCACTCACAAGCCAACCCAGAACCTACTTCTAGGTAATGTGATGACATCACTACAGTGAAAAATATCTGCGAAAAGTATCATAGTTAAATAGCGTCCATAAATCATTCTATATTCTTCAACCTTTGAAAAAATGCCAAACTTTAACACCATTTGTGTCTACCGCCTGAATATAATTATCCACTCACCAGAAGTATATTACCGGACTATTATTTTAGGTCTCATGTGCTTTTAGTGGGGTATCAAACCATTATTAGAATTATTCTTCCTCTGATTCACCGCCATAACATCCGCATCAAATTGTACCCAGACAGCATGTACGAAAAGATTTGCATTGCTCCAAATGACATTGTACTATGAAAAACACTACTGGCACATGCACTCACATGTTATGGTGCATCAGTCTGAACTGATATGACAAACCAAGCTTAATGTGATTATAAACCCCTAAGATTTTTTTACCTTCATCCAATACCATTGCACAGTGCAAGTATATCATGTTTGGTGTTTTAGAAAAAAAAAAAAATCTTGATTTAACCTCTGTGCCGCTGCAACGAATATATCACAGTTGTATCAAGCATACCTCCACCCGGCCTGTACCTCTGCTTGGCTTTAAAGCATCTCACTTGAAAGCTGTCAGAATGTCAATATCAGTACTTGTCTTAGCTAGGGAAGCAGAATTGCATCACAATAGGACTGATCCCTAGACATTGCAGATTTGTTATATACAGTATACACGTGGGTTTTTCATGTATTGATTGTTTGGAGCCATGTCACCATGGGGGTTGTTTACTTAAACTGCATGGTGCAAAATCTAGTGCAGCTCTGCATAGAAACCAATCAGCTTCCACATTTTATTTTCAAAGCGTAATTGAACAAGCTGAAGTTAGAAGCGGATTGGCTGCCATGCACAGCTGCACCAGATTTTGCACTCTACAGTTTTAGTACATCAACCCCATTGTATCAAACAATGTCAAAGTTTTGTCATTAAAAACTGTTAGTGTTTTGGCAATCCTTGAGGCGGACACAACATCCCCAGTGAGCCAGCATCGGATGCTGTTTGTACCATCTTAATACGCCACTGGTTTAAAAGGAAACATGTAACTATCTTGGAATAGCTTACTCAAACCCAAGGCCTCAATCCAATTGAGAATCTGTGGCATGACCTGAATATGGCTGTACATAAGATAACAAAAGGTGCAGCGCTAAAAATATTAAAGTATTGCTCAAAATAATAACTCATAAAGGAATAAAATATGATATCATTAAAGTGACAGTTCGTGGTAAAGTGCTTGAGCAAGGACTGATAACTTAAAACTTCAGTGATGTGCCAAAGGTGTAGTAAAAATGCGCACTCACCAGATGCGTATTTTAAATACGCATGTAAACAATATGGCCAGAGGTCCCCTTATAGGGTGGAATGGATGAGATAAGCCGATTACGGATTCTCCTCCCACTGGGTAGTGTACAGCCTTACAGATGTCTCCTTGGTAGATGTCTCCGGAAGGTTAAGTGGCAGTATCCTATTGCATCCAGAAAAGGGAGTCTTTCCACCATAATTGGCTGTAAAACATCCACTCATCCATTAAGGAGGCCTCTGGCTGGATCCAACCTGTGCCCACCAAGGAGACATCTGTGAGGCTGTACACTACCCAGAGGGAGGAGAATCCGTAATCGGCTTATCTCATCCATTCCATCCTATAAGGGGATCTCTGGCTATATTGTTTACATGCATATTTAAAATACGCATCTGGTGAGTACGTATTTTTACTACACCTTTGGCACATCACTGAAGTTTGAAGGTATTATCAGTCCTTGCTCAAGCACTTTACCACGAACTCTCACTTTAATGATATCATATTTTATTCCTTTATGAGTTATTTTGAGCAATACTTGGTTTAATATTTATAGCGCTGCACCTTTTATTATCTATCTGTGGAGGTTTTATCTGGTTACCTTTGTGTGCATCAGCGGCTAATTTTAAGCGCTCACTGATCTTATTCTATTTTATGGCTGCACATACAGGTGAAACTCGAAAAATTAGAATATCGTGCAAAAGTTCATTTATTTCAATAATGCAACTTAAAAAGATGAAACTAATATATGAGATAGACTCATTACATGCAAAGCAAGATAGTCCAAGCCATGATTTGTCATAATTGTGATGATTATGGCTTACAGCTCATGAAAGCCCAAATCCACAATCTCAGAAAATTAGAATATTACATGCAACCAATAAAACAAGGATTGTACCTAGAACAATATCGAACCTCTGAAAAATATAAGCATGCATATGTACTCAGTACTTGGTTTGGGCCCCTTTTGCAGCAATTACTGCCTCAATGCGACGTGGCATGGAAGCTATTAGCCTGTGTCACTGCTGAGGTGTTATGGAAGACCAGGATGCTTCAATAGCCTTCAGCTCTTCTGCATTGTTCGGTCTCTTGTCTTTTATCTTTCTCATGCCAATGCCCCATAGATGCTCTATGGGGTTCAGGTCAGGCAAGTTTGCTGGCCAATCAAGCACAGTAATCCGACGGTCATTGAACCAGGTTTTGGTGCTTTTGGCAGTGTGGTCAGGTGCCAAGTCCTGCTGGAAAATGAAGTCAGCATCCCCATAAAGCTCATCTGCGGAAGGAAGCATGAAGTGCTCCAAAATCTCCTGGTAGACTGCTGCGTTGATCCTGGACTTAAGGAAGCACAGTGGACCAACACCAGCAGATGACATGGCTCCCCAAATCAACACAGACTGTGAAAACTTCACACTGGACTTCAAGCATCTTGCAGTGTGTGCCTCTCCATTCTTCCTCCATACTCTGGGTCCTTGGTTTCCAAATGAGATGCAAATGAGTTGCTCTCATCAGAAAAAAAGGACTTTGGACCACTGAGCAACAGACCAGGTCTGTTTTTCTTTAGCCCAGGTAAGACGCTTCTGATGTTGTTTGTTGTTCAGGAGCGGCTTGACAAGAGGAACACGACATTTGAAGCCCATGTCCAGGATCAGTCAGTGTGGTGGCTCTTGATGCACTGACTCCAGCCTCAGTCCACTCCTTGTGAAAGTCCCCACTTTTGAATGGCCTTTTCCTGACAATCCTCTCCAGGCTGCGGTCATCCCTGCTGCTTGTGCACCTTTTTCTTCCACATAACTTTCTATTAATGTGCTTTGATAAAGCACTTTGGGAGCATCCAATTTCTTTTGCAATTACCTTTTGAGGCTTTCCCTCCTTATGGAGGGTGTCAATGATGGTTTTCTGCACAACTGTCAGGTCAGCAGTCTTTCCCATGATTGTGATTCCTACCGAACCAGACTGAGAGACCATTTAAAGGCTCAGGAACCCTTTGCAGGTGTTATGGCTTAATTAGCTGATTAGAATGGGACACTTTGAGCCTAGAATATTGCACCTTTTCACAATATTTTAATTTTCTGAGATTGCGGATTTGGGGTTTTCATGAGCTGTAAGTCATAATCATCACAATTATGACAAATCACAGCTTGAACTATCTTGCTTTGCATGTAATCAGTCTCATATATATTAGTTTCACCTTTTAAGTTGCATTACTGAAATAAATGAACTTTTGCACGATATTCTAATTTTTCGAGTTTCACCTGTAAGCTTTACACACCTTTAGACAATATATAAAGGTGAATAAACCACCTGGACCATTTGGCTTACATCTACATGTTCTCTGTTATTTCAAAGCCATTGTTTCCAGTTTAGAGACTCTTTATTAACTTACTCAGTGCCACTAGAATAGCACAAGACCAATGCAGTGCCTAGGGATCAAAAATATTTATAAAGTAACAACAGATTAGTTAGTTGGAAGATACATAAGCGTTTGATAAAAGACCATATAGAAGACAATTTAGTAAAAAAAAACAAAAACTGAATTTTAAGTAATAGCATGGATCTCAAAGATCAAAGTTGTCACACAAATCTGCTTTCATTTTATGAGGAAGTGAGCAAAAACATAAACAAAAGGAATGGCTGTGGATATAGTACACTTAGAGTTTAAAAAACACTTCACATAGTTCCCTACACATGGCTAATGTGTAAATCAATAGGCATAGAAATTTTACTTTGTAATTGGACAGAAACTGGTTAAATGCCCATATTCAGTCTGTATTGTACCTCTCCCTATCTTCCCTCCTCTACAATCTTTGGTACCTAGGTACAATCTGCCACCTCATCATCCCCGCCCTCCTCATTGC